CAGGTCAACCCCCAGCCTGTATTGGTGCATGGGATTATTCCTGCCTAGGTGCAGGACTTTGCACTTGCCTTTGTTGAACTTCATGAGGTTCCTCTTCGCCCACCTCTCCAGCCTGTCCAGGTCCCTCTGAATGGCAGCACAGTCTTCTGGTGTGTTAGCCTCTCCCCCCCGTTTAGTATCATCAGCAAACTTGCTGAGGGTGCACTCTGTCCCTTCCTCCAGGTCATTGATGAATATGTTGAACAAGACTGGACCCAGGACTGAGCCCTGGGGGACACCACTAGCCACAGGCCTCCAACTTGACTCTGCGCCATTCACCACAACCCTCTGAGCTCGGCCATCCAGCCAGTTCTCAAGCCACCTCACCGTCCACTCGTCTAGCCCATACTTCCTGAGCTTGCCTATGAGGATGTGATGGGAGACAGTGTCAAAAGCCTTGCTGAAGTCAAAGTAGACGTTATCTGCTGCTCTCCTCTCATCTCCCCAGCCAGTCATCCCAGATGATAGCCAGTCAATCTGATGATATCAGATTGGTCAAGCATGATTTCCCTTTGGTGAATCCATGCTGACTACTCCTGATCACCTTCTTGTCCTCCAGATGCTTAGTGAGGACCTCCAGGAGGAGCTGCTCCATCACCTTTCCAGGGATGGAGGTGAGGCTGACAGGCCTGTAGTTTCCTGGCTCCTCCTTCTTGCCCTTTTTGAAGACTGGCGTGACATTGGCTTTCTTCCAGTCCTCAGGCACCTCTCCTGATCTCCAGGACCTTTCCAAGATGATGGAGAGTGGCCTAGCGATAACATCCGCCAGCTCCCTCAGCACTCGTGGGTGCATCCCATCGGGGCCCATGGATTTATGGATGTCAAGTTTGGACAAATGATCTCTAACTCGATGCTCCTCAACCAAGGGAGAGTCTTCCTTTCTCCAGCCTTCCTCTCTTGTCCCCAGGGTCTGGAATTCCTGAGGACTGGCCTTAGCAGTAAAGACTGAAGCAAAGAGCATATACAATAAATAAATATACTTGAATGATCTAAAGTAATATTTTATCACATCAAGAAAAGTGTGTAAACCCTAGCACTATCATTTTCAAAGTATATTTGATGCATGTCAATACCTTAAGTATAAATTCCGCACAGAACAGCAGGCATATGCGGAAAGCAGAGCAAAATCTTAGATAAATACATAAATAAATGATGACAATTAATAACTTGCCAGTCTCATACAGGGCTAACATTTTCAACATGAAATACAGCCTGATAGCAGCTGCTCTGACAGCACATGAAGCTGTGTCAGTATGCCAGCTCAGCCTGAGGTAGTCTCAAGTGAGAGGAATATTAAGTTAAAGCCATTGGAGGGTTACTTTATCTTAGGACTTCCTTTAAGATGCTTTTCTAGCTTTAGGTTCATTGCCACGGCTGAATATAGTGAGAGTTGCCCCTTGGTGACCTTGTAGCACACTCTTGTCTTCTCCATCATGGACCAGTAACCCCTTTTGCACAAACCAGTCCCCTCTTTCCACTCCTATGGCATTGATCGCACAGGTCCCACACAGATTTCAGAACTGTTTCACATCCCTGCCAGCTGCTGCAAAGGCTGCAGATGCTTACAGGACTTCAGCATTGAGTCCAGGGCTGGCCAGGGGTCTGGCCCTGGTGGCACCGTGAAATCCTAATCGTGGGGGACTGGCACTGCTGCAAAGTGATGTCCAGCCCATGGCGTCACCTTTGCTCCCACCTCCCTGGTGCGTGCTCAGGGTTGAGCTGAGAACGCAGCCACCGACAAGGGCCCGCTCAGCTCACCTGTGAGCTGTCCCCTCTTTTGAGCCTTGTCAGTAGTCCCTGGAAGTCAATGGGAAAACTTCAGGTGACTGCCCCAGGTTTCATAGCTCGCCTGCCATGTGTCCCTGCAGCTGTACGCGGTCCCTCAGTAAACTGGTCACAACTACTGGGGTAATGGGTTGACAGGGAGTATGCATGCCACGTCGCTGTTTGTCGTGGTAGTTCTATTTTTCTCAAGATTTCTTTTTCTTTGCAGTGCGATGTCTTGGATCAGAATTTATTAAATTTCCTCCCAGAACAAGAACATTCAGAAATTTATAAGATGTTATCTTCTTGTATGCTTATGACAGATTCTGCCTCATCGGATTACCTAAAAAGTAAGTTTTACTTTATCATTCCCAAGAAATGAAAAAACATGGTCAGGATAAGAATTTTCTCTCAGAAAGAGTTTTATGTAATGTGCAATATAAACTTTATGTCCGTAGCATTTTAAAAAGATCTTGCCACCTGGAATGACCTTCAGTACTATTTTAAAATTAAACTCATTGCATTTATTTTACTAGGCTATGACTGCTTGCAGTTATGTTAATTATTAAACATTGTATCTTTTCAGACAGCTAAGGAAAATAGGTTAGCCAATGGAAACTGAGAGTTCGCCTGTGACAAATCACATCTTAATTGATATTGCAGCCTATTAAAGTAAGATGCTGTTTGGAGATACGCTGATGTTGCATACCTTTGTTTTGCATTATAGTTGAAAAGTATCTGTAAAATCATCATAATTCTTTTTCTAATTGAATTTTATTTTTCTTAAAAATCCTTTCCCTTGCCTCGTCCAGAAAATACATGCTAATATAAGATGTCCAGCTGCTTAATCTACTGTAAATACAAAACCCGCAGCTGATAGCTAATATGCCAAAGTTAATTTAATCGATATTTTTGAGGTAATTAGGCACAGTTTTCCAACATGAGATATAAAACAGATGTGAATCATGAAAAGCCTAAATAGAAAAAAAGTTATACATCCATTTCTCTACTTCAATGCAACAGCGTTGTGTCAGTGTAACTCCTGTGAGGAAGATGGTGTAAGAAAATGGCAAGTTGGTCTCAAAATGTGTAAGTTAGCTACATCCAGACCTGTGCATAGTGATGAACATCCTGGACCTCTGCAAGGCATTTTCTTATAGAGGCGCTGATCCTGCAATTTATAGTACATTGGTGTATAGGAATCTGAGTGGTAACAAGCTGCTCTTGTGCTGCCAATTGCAAGACTGGGGTTGAAAGGCACCATTCGTTGTGTTTAGTTTAAATAGTATATTTATTTCTTCTTCTTCTTCTTTTAACAATCCAGCTGACAATGAACTAGAGTTTTATTGTCATCTTCTGAGAGGAAGTTTGAACCCAAAGGAATTTCCAACATATGAATACATAAAATTTGTAGGAAATTTTCGGTCTTACAGCAATGGTAAGCTTTAATTGTTGTATAAATGTTACTTTAGCTATGCAAAATAAAATATAAGCATGGTTCCATAGAACAAAACAGGCTGTTAACTGAAAGGATTATTTCTAACATTATGGGATGAATCTCAGTTCACATGGATCTAGCAACCGACTTGCAAAAGCTGCATAAATACCTATGAAGTCTGACGTTATGTTAGTTCCTTTTGTTAATGCACTTCACTTACTTACAAGTTGTAATCCTGGATTCTGGGTAACTTTGCAAATAATGAAGTGTTCAGAGGAGGATCTGTTTGTGCTCGCTGATACTATGTGCTAAGACTGTACCTACTAGCTAAATAATAAGGTTGCTGACTTATCCACAGACTGTGTGAAATATGAATTCTGGCCTGCTCCAGAACTGATAATCAGCAGAATCTGCCCTTTCGCCCTTCTCCGGGGAATTTTGGGGAACAGCTGTAGTGCCACGTAATTGAGTGCCTGCATCCTACACACCACGCTGTGGTGACACGTCACCTTCCACTGGCGTCGGAGTAGCTAAGGACACTTAGACCCTCCTCAGTCTCAAACCCTGCCATTTTACGTTCCACTTCAGCTACAGGACCCGACATTCACAAAAAAAGGAGAGAGACACAGTCAGGAGATGGTCAAAAATACTGCATAGTCATTCTAAGGAAACCATCTTTCAAGGGACGAAGAGCAGATTTTTACCTAATGTGTTCCCTAATAAACAGATTGCTGTAGGGCTATTAGTGTCAGAAATGAAATATTCTTTTATTACTTTCCCTTCTCCTGCCTGTCCAACTTTGCCTTAGTTACTTGCCTGATTGAACTCCAGAGCGGCATTTCAAAAGTTGCTGGTGCTGTTCCAAATAGGTCATCCTCAGCAAAAATTCCCCACCGTGCTTTCCAAAAACCGCACACCACACTGCAAAAATGTCCCTGTCCCCATTTAACTTTCTGGTCTTAATCCACATGACTAGAATAGAAACTTATGTGCAGTATGGAGATATGTATTTCTTGTTTGGTGCCAGATGATTTGAGGCTTTATTTGTATAAAAATGTAAGTGCCTTTATGCTTTCTAGTTTGCGTGAAGTGAAATGTGCCTGCATGGCAGACATATACAGCAAGCTGTACTGTTTTCTAGAGCAGAAACTGGATGTCAGGTGCTGACTCATAAGGATACATTTCTATCAGGGGAATTTTTGATCCATTTCCTTCAAGGACTTTCAACCTTTTTTTTTTTTTAGTGCAACCTTAAAATTGCCCTCTTACCCCTTAGGATTTCATAACCTAGCATTTTTATTAGTTATTTCTCTGAAGAAACATAAAACTTACATTTTCACCCTGTTACCTAGAAATCGTCCCTAGCTTAATGCTTATAAACTAGATGGGAATGTATGGGTTTCAGGAGACATCAAACCATCTTCTGAAGACGCCAGTTTATAGCTTTCAAAATAAGACCTGTGCTTTCTACTTTATTTGTTTTCCTTTGTATCGCTTTTTTCCAAATCTTTCATTTTGTTTTGTCTCTTTCGATTTCTTCTCATCTCTGCCGTAGCCTTACCCTCCACCCAATGGTTAGGGTTGCCCTTGTCCCTGGTGTGCGAGACGGTGCAACTTGGCCTCATTCCCCTCCTCCCTCCCAGGGAACGGCCGCTTGCCCACCTCGATTTTCGTTTCCTGGCTTGGGGGTATTCACCCAGTTCACTGCAGAGCCCTGCAGCAGCACCTAAGCAAGCTCACGTACCAGGAGGAGTAAAGCCAGCTTTGTCCAACACTTTGGGCGAGCCCAGGGCTCTGCCAACCCTTGCTTCAGTAGCGTACGACACAACGTCCCCAACGTTTCTGAGCGAAGCGGGCAGTGCTTTTCTCATATGCCTAGGATCCGCTGGCCCCAAATCCTGCATTTCGGAGGTGATGGCTGAGGAAAAAGAGTGAGCTAAAGATAAGAAAAGAGTTAGTAGAGCATACTGTGGAGGGAGAAAGACAGAAATTGCAAATTAAGCTTAATTAATGGGAGATGTTCCTTATGAATGTATTCAGAAACGGTTTTCCCTGTAGCTTTTTGCAGCACTGGAAGTGTGAGCATGTTTTTACACATGGGAGACTGATACAGGATGTTCTTCTCTAAATACAAATCTCTAGCTCTCTGTTAGCTGCCTGATGCCAAATTCTACCTTTGTTTTTAATGATTTGTTTAGCGTATTCCAAATCCACTCTGACTGCATGTTCCTGCTACATTAATATGAGGCCTTCTGTGGCTGGAGAGGCTGTTTTGTCCTTGCACAGGCTATATCCCATCAGAATACTTAAATATTCTGTTCTCATTAATGTAGTGTCATGGCGGTGACAGTCCTTACAGTCTTTCACCTTTCCTTCTCACTTAACCTTTGCTAATGTTTTGAAAAATTGCTAGGTCCGGTTTTGCCCTCTTTAACAGAAATGTCACTAGCTTTACTCTACTTCCACACACTCTTTTTGCAATTCCCCCTCCCTTAAAATAACTGCTTCTTAGGCTCGTTTTTATTATTATTAATTGCCCATATTACAGTGGTGCTTGCCTCAGTCCCGGTAGAGGATAAAGCGGGGGAAAGAGGGTCATGCTCACTGGGGTCTGAGTGGCCTTGCCTCCCTCCCTCCCTTGCACCTTCTCTGTTAATCGCATTGTGACTTACGGCTGAGAAGTTCGTACAGGGATGGGTTTGAATGGATTAATTTGAAGGACTGAGACTTAGAAAGCCAGTTAGGGGCTTAGCTCCTCTCCCTAATTTTACTGGGAGATGCAGGGCTAATTCCCCTCTTTATTTAAAGGCCATTGTTACTGTTAACACTGAGAATTTTGTTTCTATCAAAGCCAAACAGATGCCTGACATCTACCAAGGTGCTGTGTCAACAGGATTGCTGCCGGGGGTCAGATGGTGCAGAACCTGCATTGAACCCTGCAGGGACTATCCCCTAGAGGAGCAGGGTCACTGGCACCTCTCCCCATCCCACGAGGGAGATAGTCCAGGCAGGGAGATGCGGGTGTAACCGCTCAGAAATCGCCCAGGCGTGCCTTCAGCCTTTCTAAAGATGGTCGTCCCTACAGCTCCTGGGTTCAGCTATAGCTGGAGGAGCTGCGCTGGCCGGGAGCCAGGCTCTGCGGGAGGGACCGTGCTCAGGCAGGTCCCGCGGCCAGAGCTGTGGGAAGCCGTGCTCTGACCCCCGCTGCAAAGGCGTTTCTGCACCTGTGTCCTCACCAGGGGCTCGACGCAAGCTGCCCATCCATGAGCGAACTTCCCTTGAATTAGCTGTGCCCGAGCGAGAGCGGTCAGCCAGGGAAATAGCAACGCAAGCGGTGCAGAGCGACTGCATGAGTCACTGGCTGTGCTAAATCACATACAAGAGATTCGATTTTCCATTTGGGAGGGTTATATAATCATCATTAATTAGGCTTCAATGAAGAAAGCAGGACAGTAACCTGATGTGAAGACTCAGCAGTCCCTTGAGAGGAGGGGAGATGGCCAGTGGGTCACTCAGAAGAGGAAGGTGGAGTTTCCTCTTTGTTTCTAGATGAGAAATGCCTACTTGCTCCCCAAGTTATGACTTTTTTTATTTTTGATTTGCAGATAGGAAGATCTTCCAATATATTTCTATATTCCTGGTTCTAAGTGCTTTAGTCTCCACTCAGTTAATTAAAGCCTTTCCCATTGTCCAGATTTTAACAAGAGTGCTGCATATATTCAAGCATTTGATGGAGCAGCATGCCATCACTATAGCTGTTGACCAGTAGCGCATGTTCAGGGACTGAGTCATGTTAGCGTTACCAAAGACTAATGCAGTGACCCATATCCAGTTTTGCCTGAGGACTAAGGGGGAAGAAAAGTAACAAAGATAACCCCCTGAAAAAAATTCAAGGAAATATTTAGTTCCCAATAAAATATGTCAAATTAAGTGAGAATAAACTATTTTACAAAGCAGCTTAACAGCTAGCTCTGATAAGAAAATATAAGGCAAGCTGGATTTATCCCCTCCCCTAAAAATTTTTCGTAGGTTTGTACACAGAAAAAATCTCTCACAATTATATAGCCAATTATTGGCTTTGGTATCGTATTTCTGAGGTGACATATTTGCTTAAAAATTCCCGAAAGGGGTAAAGCTAAAGTCCTACCTTTCAAAGTGTTCATCAAAAGAAAAAAGGAACACCAGCATCTCTAAAGTGGCAGATCTGTCCTTTCATCCAAAATGCCTGAAGTTTTCCTCTTAAAGGAGGAGATAATTGTTATGTAAAAAAGAGTTCCTGATCAAGTAATATAATTAAATATTATAGAGAAATTTAAAATTGTGTATCTTATGTTCCCAATTATATGGAAACTCAAGAAGTATCTAGTTACTGGATGCTAATAATAGCAGATACTCTACCGTTAGCCAATATATGTCTCAGAGATAAGAGTAGCCATCAAGGAAATTATCACGCTGGGGAGAAAAAAATTCTTGTCACTCCTAGAACAATTAATTCAATCTAAATTCCCTTTTAAAGGAAAAAAACAGATTTATGCAGAAGATATATTGATCTTGAGCATATAGCTGCATATGTATAAACATCTGATAACAAGAGTAACCCAAACTGAAATGAATGTTTTACTCAAAACCAACAGTCGCCTGTTACTATTTGCTACTATCAATATAGTAGAAGCTGCAGCTCTCAGTTTGCATCTTTTCTGCTGGGCACTCCACAGGCGTTTATGCAAAAAGACACCATTCCTATCCTAAAGAATTTACATGGGTTTTCTATCAGCATAGGATCGGGGGAGAAACAGGAGGAAGAAAGAGGCGGGAGTAGATCAAAATAAACAAATAGACGCCATCACTGTTATTTGTCCAAGGCTATTGAGTGTCGTCTCGCCTGCCATTAGCATTTTAGATTTCTTCATTTTATACATATTAATTACTGAATATTCTGTTTATCTGTGTTCTGAATTTATTTATATGAAACAGTCTTGTCTTCATTCTGGTCTGTTTGACTGGTGTTTTTTGAAACTGCTATTTTGTTTGTTTAGCAGTTACAAGGACTAGCTCTTTAAACTTTATCATCTACTGACAAAATAGGAAGGAGAGATTTCATCTTTCAAATGACATAAATGAGAGATTTGCTGTTACAGAAATAATACATTGGAAACATCCTAAGTTAAAATAAGATGACTGAGCAATTGACTCTTGTACTATTATTAAACGAATAAACGGCATCTGGGGTTTTTTAAACATGTTTTCTTTCATTTCCTGTGGCATGATTTGTGCCCCTAAAGATAAAAATGTTTATTTCTATGGTAGTTAAAGGCTTTTATTCTTTATAGTTTACTTATTTTTAACATCTTAGCCTTAATGTTCCTGGTCCTATATTTTTTTAACTCCTGTGCTTGTGTGAATCAATTTATTTCTATCTTCTTGAATTATATGTGCAGGTAATTTAATATTTCTACTGCAAAAGAATTATGATGTTGTACCTCTAGAAGAAGCAGACGTGATAGTAACAAAACTATTAAAACTCATGCCAAGGAGCATCAGCTAGCTAATATATATGAAACAACGATCTCACCTTTCTGATCATGTCTTTACGTTTGTCACATAACCTCATAATTCTCTATTCAGGATTTTTTGTCTAGATCATTTAAGTGTGAAATACGCATCCCCTCGTTGACCTGACCCCACCTGCTTATAGTCAGCTTAATGTTTTGGTCAGAGGCCTTCTAAGCGCTCCCAGATTCGTATTTTACTTATCAAAGTTAATATCATCGTAGCTTTAGACTTCATCCTGTATTTTGTAGTAGACTGTTTTTCTGTGGTGCTCTCAGAAAGTTCAGTACTGACCTTTGCTGCTTTAAGATATCGTGTGCTTTTCTTTCCAAAAGATTTTTCGAATTAAAGAATATGATTTTCCAGAAGGCTTGCTTAAAAGATTATGCTAGGAATTCTTTTTTAATTCATGAAATTATCCCTTTCTTTGGGATAATTTAAACTTTAAAAGGACTCGGCAAAAAATGTTGAAATTTACTGAACAATTGCAGGAGAAGAGTAGAACAGACTTTGCAGAAAGAACTGTCGAAAGCTCAAAATACTAACAAGATAATTCGGGAAACAAAATAGTTCAGAAACAAATGTGAGATTTTGATTCCTTTCAGCTACAGTAGTGTTTCTTTTCAGGCTGAGGTGTACATTTCCAGTTGGTGGTTATCTGCCTGCACTCTCGAGGTTACTATTTGTTTTTTAATGCCTCGGACCTTGTCAGAAGCACTTGAGCATGGAAAAGACAGAGTATCCATTCGAGGACTGGGGGGACTGTCAGCCAGGCTGCCTCTGCCTCACCTCCCCAGGCTTCCTCACTCACTGCCTCTAAGTTCAACATGCCTAGTGAGGAAATGCCAAATTTACTAAACAGCTGTATTATATGACAATTACTGCCCTGTCAGTATTGCATTTGCCTCTTGGAAATAAGATTCTCTTTTGTTAAAGTGACATAAAGAGATGTATTCTGCTCTTTTCTGGGAATACAATGTCTTTCAGACTCAAGGCAGTTTACATCAACTTGCTTAAGTAAAAAGACCAACCACTCTCTTCAGTGCATCTCACTTTTTATTCTGTATTTCTTCTGGAACTGGTGTCGTTTGCAAGCTCGTGCTTTCAGTAACTAGTTTAAATTGTCATACCTGTACTTCAGAGACTGAATGTGCTTATCTCATTTTTATTTCTTAGAGCCCAGCCTGCACGCATTTGCTACTGAACTTGGTTGTCACAGAGAGAAACTGTTCCATTGACATAAAAATGCAACTACGTTATTAGGTAGTAAGCGTGGAAGTAACTTTTTACAGTGACCTTAATTTGGGTGTATAGCCTTATCCTTAATTTTTAAACAGCGCTGACTACCAAAATCAACTGACTGACTTACACTAAATAATCAGTATCAGAACAGAACAAATACTTCGTTACTCAGAGGTCTCCTATTTCCTCTGGCTTCTTGTCTTGTGTTATTAAACCTATAGACATCCTCTCATAGGCACAAAAGCCCAGGAGCAGAATTCGAATACATATTCCTAGAGGTCCCCAGAGCAAGTGTGCTTTGCTTGTGAAAGGAGGAGAGTTTTGCCCATATTTTTTATCTTAGTATCCTGTAAGTCGTGCCCTCAAGACTCAGCTGCAGGAGAGGACTGTAATCTCTGCACATGTTCACATCTGCCTTGCTTTCTTGGATGTGGAATCTATCTTCCCCCTTTTGGCGCTGTATTTTCTTGTGCGCACAGTGGCGTAAACCCATTGTCCTCAGAGGAATTACCTTTCTGTCTCATACCCTGTTAGCCTTGTTATCAGCTTTATATTGTTATGCTAAGGCTTTGTAGCAGATTGAACTGGGCTCCAAAAGCACATGTGATAACTAGGTTCCATCTGCACAATTTAGGCTAGTGAACTAAAGCCCAGTGCAGAAGCATCCCAGAATAAAATTGCCAGTGAAATCCTCCCCAGACATATACAGAACTCTTAATTTTCACAGGAATGGACATGCTTATCCTTGCTTTGTCCTGTGGAGAAGAAACAAATTGTAGAAAACTTTGATAAAGTTGGATTATAGGGGACTAACAGTAAGGAAAGATTGTTTCATATTAGCGTTAATCCCTACTAGCATTACATTAACACTGGCGACCTCCAGCTGCCAGATGGGACCCTCTCTACCCCCACAGGGACAGTGACTGGGGCAGGGCAAGAGTCTCGTGGGGCAAGCCCAGCTCCCACTACAGCCCCACGCAGTTTCCTTTGACTCCCATGGGAGCGGGATTGCGATCCCTAAGCAGCCCAAATTTGGATGAAGAATTTGCATTATGCCATCATAACATGGGACTGTGGGCTACATTAAGGCAACATGATCTTTTGATGACGCATCACTAAGCCATGAGGCACTCACAGCCCCTCAAAGCAACACAAAAGCCATGCAATCACAAAAATCTCACATAACAAACGTATAAATTCTGTAGTCACATCGCATCCAGTTTTTCCTTTAGTCCAGGGTTGCAAGAGACAGTAGGTCATCTACAGACCTACAAGGAACGCCCAGTTCTGGATGCTAGTGCAGTACATGGGACCCTCTGCTTTTCTTTAAAGTAAACAGAGCTTGAGCACACTGGACTCTGTTCTCCTTAGATATAGAATGGGAACATACACTTCGGCAGCTGAAAATTACAAGCAGTTTCTGCTAGCTCGATGAAGCCTTGCTGGCTTTGGTCCTCAGTGTTTTGCCACTGATGACTTGAAGAATGCTCTTCAGCTACCTCCCTTGCCAACGCTTTTTTTCACTGCCTCATGGAAGTAATGCGCTAGGCATGCTGCAGCATATACAATTATTGTGAGTGGTGAAAAGGAGCAATTGGATGTGTGGGGTTTCTTTCCAGAAAGCTGTTTTATGCTCTGTAATAAGGTTTGGCCTTATTTTTATCAGGATTAACCTATAAGATTCATACTTGAAGTTAAGCTCTGATGTCTTTCTGCCTAACATGGCTGACTTGGATTTAAATATATGCATATCAGCTTTAAAAGCTTTTAGAGCACTTCCCTGAATAAAATTAGTATTAGCGCTCTTCAAGTGTGCAAAATACTCAGGGAGAGCAAATTTTGTATGGGGCATGACTTGGGGTCTTGGTTTTTTCCTACCCAGTGCCTAACTCTACTTGCAATGGCTTTGATGATGCCGTTCCAAGGGCTTACAGAACATCACCAGGAAAGCAGATCTGCTTTGTTGCTACGGTTCGTTTGGCAACGCCTCAGTTTTTAAAGGTAGGTGAATATCCTGGATCCCATTCATTTTAGAAGTTCTCAAAACATTTTCAGACTAGATACATGCAAAATTATTAAATTTGGCTAATTGAATGGATTACAGATACCACATTTCATGCATAAAAAATCCAGTGAAGGGGATTATCGATGTGAGCCGGGATCTGTAGAAACAATATCATTTCTGCCCTGCCTTGTACAGGAAATGTAAGCCCTACTTGCATTAGGAATTGCAATGACACTTTAAAGTTAGGTTGTTCATTGCAGCTTTCTGTTCTGTCTGCAATAGGTTAGGGTACAGATGGCTACCTACGCTTTCATTTGGGTTCTTGGATGTCTTTGTTTTTGCTAGCCTTCCTCCTCCCAAATCTTGATACTAAAATAGTTGCTTCTGGAAATAAGGATGGATCGTTCAACCTTGTGCCTGACACTGCAGTTTCCTAATTAACAAATCTGAGCTTCTGCATTAAATGTCCCATCCGCAGAGGGTAAGAGATTAAAAAGTCTAATTGAGACAAAGCCTGTATGAAATCACTGCTCCCTTGGCCTGACTCCATTACTGCACAGGGACCTTTCAGGGCAATCTTGACTGATTCATAGCCCTGAGAGTCAAGCAGAGTTTTTTCTGGGTAAGTCATAAATCTTAACCGTGGTAATCATATTAGTAGTAGAGGCCAGAGTTAAGGTTGCTCTGGGGTCCTTGTAAATAAATGTCCTTGTCTTTAGGTAACTAACGTCTCAAAACAAGCATAGTACTAGGGAGAAAGCAGCTTCTCAATAACTCAGGGAAGGCTTTAGCTGTCAAGAAATCCTAAACGCTAATCTCCCAGATTCACCTGGGTGAGTCATTTAACCCGTGGCCCTGACTTCCTCCTCCAAAATGAAATCAAAAACAGTTATCTGGCTGTGTAGGTAAGGCAGAATTGGCACTTTTGTGTCACACGGCAATGCTTGCACACTGCAACTGAACAGCTCCTGAACTTTAGGGTATATTTTTGGTCAGCATTGATTTTGGTGTACGCTGGAGGGAAGGAGAGAGGAAATGAAGAGATATATGGAGCCTTTTGCCACTGTACGCCCAGCAACTTTAATCACCTTTGTGAGTGTTAATATATATCAAAGAAACACTTGATGGCAGTGTCACCTCAGCTTTTTCTGTGGTCCTAGGAGGGCTGAAAATATTGGTGGCCTGAAAAACTTCTCTCCCAGAGAGTGAGAACAGAAATAGAGGTGGCAGAGGGACGATGGGAGGGTGTGGTGGAGGCCACGGCCCAGCAGGAGGTGGCACTAGAGAGAAGGGGGCAGACTACTGCCGGGGGACAGGGAGCAGACCAAAGTCCTCTTACCAGTGAAGATGGGACCCCTCTGCAGGAGTAACATGGGGGAAACGATGACCCTGGACAAGGTGTTGGAAACCACAAAATCCTCAGTACTGACGCTGGCTCCTCAGATGACTGGCAAGACCCAGGCCAGGGTCTCCAGGCTCACTTGGCCTCATCCATCAAGTGTCAGAGGGAGGAGGAGAAGGCTTGCTGGGCACTTGCTGGAGAGAGAGGCGTCAGGGAGTCCCACGAGCCTCTGAGGGATGAATAGGACAGGAGCAATCAGCAGCCAGGAGCTTGGAGGAGATGCACACAGGGCCAAGGGCAGACCATGGGGCATGCTGGCATATGCAGTCCCATCCTTCCTCAGCTTCCTACCCTCCACCCCAATAATTAATCATTATCAACAGTGTGGTAATCCTCATCTCTCTGCACCAAGGAGTTTCTGTCTCACAAAGAGCCCTGCGTCCTGCCTCCTTTAATGCATTTACTAATTACCATTATTACGAGCTCAGAGGGCTGTTGTGGGTCTTAAGGGCCAGATTATTCCCAGCTGACACTGGTGTACCAAGGGTGTGACAGCAGGAGTAAAGTGAAAGACAAAGCCACTGCCTTTGTTTGATGGGGCCCACGAGTGGTCTCTGTCCTTGGGTGCTCAGGGACAATGCCGGGGCACCCAGGCTGCCCCAGGCTCAGTGCCCTGCTCTGCCTCACAGGCTACGGGGCTGAAAACCCATTTACTCTTTCAGTGCATAGTTCCCCCATCCATTCAGTGGGAAAGCCATGAAACCCTTGGCACCCTGAGGAACAGTCATGATTCTGAGCTCCTCTTTCCAGCCCCTGCAAAAATGTGGGCATTGATTAATACAATAAATTGGTCTTTGGAAATAGCAGGGGATTTGTGAATTTTCTGATTTATCTTATGTACTGTGTATTTATAGCTAAGAAAAGTTGCATGAAGCAGGGAGGTGAAGGTGCAACTCTCACTAAACAGGTTTTCTTCACCATATAGGAGATGTGCATAGTTGAAGAGCCTTTAGAGGAATTCACTTCAAGGCACAGTCTGGAATGGAAATTTTTATTCCTGGACCACAGGTCTGTGACAAGAAAAGCCCTCTTGATAGTGTTTTGTGCTTGTTTGCTACTGTTTTCATAAGTGCAGTTCTCTCAGATAGCGTTATGCTTCACATTAAGTCACATGAAGAGAAGGGCTACCACTAAAATTCCTACAAAAGCTGATGTTTTCTATTTTATCTCGCATTTATTTTTATCAGACTCTTAAAACAAAACCACTCCGTTTCTCAGACAGAACCTTCGATTAGCCTGTTCTTGTTTGTTTTAGAAATATCAATGGACCAAAGCCGGCAACATGATAGACAATGTCTAGTTGGTATACAGCTGTGGAAATTGCTCTTTCAAACCCCAGTTGCTGATTATGTATGCAATTCCCACTGAGTTACAGAGGGAAAGCCTGTGCTGGCCCGAGGCAACCATGCTGGCAAAGGTACAAGGCAACTGCATAAGCACTGGGCAGTCCAGCTCTGCAGCGACCCGGAGAGATATGGCACAAATGAGCTCCCTTCCTACCCCTCTAGTTTCAGTAAGCGATGGCACCTGGGCACACTTTTTTTCCAGTGCAGGACCTGGGGGAACTGCAGCAGAGCCCGTGCGGTAGGAACAAACAGGGATCGACTCCCTTAAAGCAGGTTCTTGTGCAAAGCCCCTTTGGAAACCGAGCTGCTTTCCACAACTGCGTCTTCCCTGAAAAGACAAGGGTCTCATAGGTCTTGCCCTGGGGAGGAGGAGAGCAACTCAGCAGCCCGCTAGTGCTGCTGTGCAGGTGCCGGCCCCAGCTGCAAGGCAAACCTCAGCGCCGCAGCAGGGCACTGCTCCAGGGGGAGTCAGGATCTGGTCCCCTGGTGGGAGGCTGGACACACGCAAGTGAGAGCAGGATTTGGGCTTCTGGATATCTGCGGCAACGTGCAGAACTGCTGTTTGTTTTGTGGTTGTATCAATTCACTTGTATTGTGCCTAAATGCAGAGCACCGCCGATTATAGGATACTTGCCTTTTGAAGTGCTGGGTACTTCTGGCTATGACTATTATCATATAGATGACCTAGAGCTGCTAGCAAGGTGCCATGAACACTGTAAGTATTGCATAGCCCAAGTTGCTGTGAATTAACCGGGACACCTCTTTTTAATAAAATGTCATTTCAATTAAAATAGGTTTAAACTTGGAAGGTGAGGTTCTGACCTTTGCTACACGGCTGTATGTCTTGGTGGCGTTACAGCAGACTGCACGCACCGTAGCTGAGCTGTCTGGGCCAGACTTCTTTAGCTCTGAAAAGACCAGTTTTACCTTCTGTATTCCCAGAACTAGTCGGTGAGACTCACCGAATGGATAAGACATGCCAGATTTGACCCCTCACTCTGTTAGTGAAGAATATACAGGACTAGCTCAAGCAGTCACAGAGGAGATCATGTTTTGTAAAATTCCTTCAGATTATTTGCTCTAATGTTGCTCACTGTGTATTTAGGATTACTTGTGATTATTTGAATATAGTCCATTCAGATTTGACTGGAAAAATCGTTCATTAAGTAAAGAAAATGAGGCAATTCTTTTCAAATATTTGCTTACAGAACTGATTGGAACGTCTCCGTCTTGGAACAGGTTGAAACCTCTCTATGTAACCTGAAAATATACAGTCAAAATTAGTTTTTATATGTTTACTTTAGAATATAAAAAGGCTAAATATGGGTATGTGCGAGAACCTCTTGAAATCACTGGGAAAAAAAGCAGGGACAAATTTGATCCATGACTCTTGAAAACCTTTAGATACATCGCAGCTAACTGCACTTTGAATTCTTGTCAGACTGGGAGTTTTCTTTCCGTTCCAAATGATTTTTATCCTAGCACGATGTTATCCCTGTGTACTCACTTTATTCTTCACAGTCGCTGAAATCCATCTGCACAGAATATTCATCTTTTCAAGCATTTTTATCCTGTATTTTTCTGCTATGGAACTTAGGATGATCACTCTTAGAAATTAACCCCAATTGCTTAATTAGGCAGTAGGTGGTCAGCCCATAAACCAGGGAAAGATTTATGTTTAAGTTGTAGAAGATATTAATGCATTAGAGTCTAAAGTTAAAGGTAAATTGTATTTGTACCCTTTAAGAATGTACTGTTTAAAGTGCCAGAAAAAGATACCTAATGATCTTTATGGTATTTGCTTTATCATTAGAGTCACAGGCCCACACACTCGAAAGGCGCTTAGACTCCTACCTCCCTTGGACATCACTAGGAATTCAGATCTGGGCCATCGATATTTTTGTCACGCCTTTCGCATTTCATGTCATTTTCACGTTGTGCTACAAGCTGTGTATCTTTTCTGATGACAGTGATGCAGTTTGGCAAGGGGAAGTCTTGTTGCTACCGGTTTTTGACCAAAGGACAACAGTGGATCTGGCTGCAGACCCATTACTATATCACGTACCACCAGTGGAACTCCAAGCCGGAGTTCATTGTGTGCACACACATGGTAGTAAGGTATGGAAAGCGGCCGTTATCTGTCGCCATCGTAGTCATAGCAAATAGCAGGGATGCAAAGGGCAGTAAGATAAGGGCATTCTAATTATTGCAAGCATTTCTCTTAGAAACTTGAATGTGTCTTTTTCTTGTAACAAAAATGAAATCTTAATTCTGTGAAAGAAATGTTTCCTATAGAAAAATGAGTAGACTAATCCATATTCCATGCTAAGCTTTACGTATTAACCATTAGTTCAGAGACAGATTAACAGCTGAGTTTTTCCATTTAGCGCAAAACCAGGGAATAGACCCCTTAGCTGTTAAGTTCCAGAAATTGTTACATTATTTTTTGGAGAGAGGTGTATGGAAGCTTTCTAGTGAAGTTATAAGGTGACCTTGGGACAGGAATTGGACATCAGCTCTTTAATATATCTCTTAACTTCACAAACATAGGAACAGAATAGAGACTGAAAATTAAAATATGGTCTCGCAAATGTTATGCAGTAGCATACGACTTAAATGATTTTCAGTTGTTCATTTAAGCTGTAAAAAGTTACATTAATATGTGCTTCTATTTGCTTAAAGCATATTTTATGAAATGTAGCAATATAATTTTGAAACATGGAATTATATTTTACAATCAGTTATGCAGATGTTCGGGTGGAGAGGAGACAAGAGATGGGCTTGGAAGAAGTGTCCTCAGAGGTTGTGTCCTCAGCACTGAAGGTACAACAAGATAAGTTTTTTTGTGAACGTATGCAGCAATAACAACTTGTTCCTGTGTTAACGTCGTCAAAGACTTTAGCATTGTCTTTCTGAATGGATTCCCTCAACTTCAGAATTCATTGCTCACTTGAATAATTTTCAAGTAAATTGGATAAGGTCATGAAAGGATAAACCTGGAGAACAAACAGCCATGAAAGGCGTGGAACATGGGCAGGGGCAATGTGAGATAGCTCCATGTTCCCCTGACAAAGTACTACAGTTTTGAGATTCATCTGGACGTGTTCTGGCAATCGTTTCTTGGCAACATCTAGGTGGTCTACTGAGGGAAGGGAACGCAAGCTCCTCCTCAATGCATCACTGATTATCTCCCAGAGGTTGCATTGAATGCTACATCCAATTGAATGCAAAAGAAAGATTCAGCAGAACATGTCAAAGCACAAAATGACTATGGCAGTAGCTTGCTACTTCTTTCCACCTCAGTAAAACTCACGAGAAAATGAACCAGTAAAATGCTGTTTGTAAAGAACATTGACGTTTGGGCCTAGGTCTTCTGCTGGCCTACTGGGGAATAGTTCTGCTCAAATCATTTTAGGCTAGCCGAAGAAGTGGCTCTGCAAGAATTACCAGATGTTTGACGAAACATTTTTACTCTGACAGATAATTTAGTTATTCCTTTCTTTTTTTTTTTTGTTTTAGGATAGTGGCTCCAGCTTGGATCCTGAACAGCACTTTAATGCACTCGATATTGGTGCCTCAATCCTCAGTGCTAGTCGGACACCCTCAGTATCATCCAGGAGCTCACCAAAGTCCTCCCACACACCGAAGTCGGACCCTGCATGTGAGTGGCATTTCTGGGTTACTGCATTATTCTAAATTTAGCCAAGTTACAGAATGTGTTTCTGTATACTGTAACGGTTTTTTATGAGGTATCAGTGATATGTGTTTGTCACCCACAGTGAAGTACATAATCTGAAATTACAACATACATGAGGGAAGGTGCTGGTGCAACCATCCATACACTGGAGAACGGGTAGTGGGACTAGCCATGCTGTTTAGCTATATTATGAAGATGAAGACTTCTCTCTTCAGTCTCAGTATAAGCAGTGAGAGGTCCGTCCTGACTTACATGAGCAATAACAGCCTGTGGGTGACATTCTTTGGGTCTAGATTCAGGATGCGCCAGCCATGACGTCGGCCCACCTTATGTACTCTTTCTGCTCTCTGGTCTGGAAGAAAAGCTCATGCGCTAACCTCATATAAAGTTCCAGCTGTTTTAAAACCAGTTTTGAGTCCTTTTGCTCTATTCATGGGAGCACAAACTCATAATCTATCTCATTGACTTTCGTCTTTGCCCAGACCCTCCCTCTCGGTTTGATTTTACTGCTGTTGAAGTCAACAGGGAAAGCCTTGACTCCAGCTAGAATTTAGCCAGGCCACACATCACCTCTAGCCTTGTCTAGAAGTAGTCAGGATTTAAAATGGCCATGATTTTTCAGTTTGTGAGAATTCACTGATACCTTTCTTACAGCTACACCGACAAAGCTGACTGCAGAGCCCAACACTCCTTTGCAAAGAACTCCTAGCACGCAGCAGGATTTGTCTGTGCATAGACTCAGTCAGCCTACTGCTCTTCAGGTAACTTTACACACAGTCATCAAAACAGGCAGAAGATGTAAAGCATGTGCCACATATGCAGCTTAGCAAGTAAACAAGACTTATGCAGAGGCCAGGGCATTAGAAGGAATCTAACATTTAAAGGAGCCAAACTTACAAATTAAGTTTTGTTTTGTTTTGTTTTTAACCTAGGCTTCTTTGCCTTCTCAGCCTCCATGTGAGCTTCTCCCACAGCAGTTGCTGCCCCAAGCAACTTTGCCAAATCAGCCTGCACCTCTGGCACAGGTTAGTTGGGGACTTGGAAATGGAATAGGTCACTTAACTATTTCCTGATATTTTCTCCCTTCATCTACTGAATAAATTAATAGAGCCCAAGGCTTTTAGGGCTTTTAGGCTATCTCTTTGGTAGCTAAAATCCAAAAATCCACCAGCTCTCAAACTCTTTAAATATTGTCGAGTGTCATCTGAATTGTATACTCGTGTGTTCAAACATACATTTATATGCAGACACTCACAGCAGAAGCACAGGTGCAGGTCTGTTCAAATACACACCCACATCTCTGCCACAGGAGGACAAAAAACAACGAGATGGAAAAACGGTTTTCAACCCTGCCTCTGCAGAATCAGGTCCCTTCAAAATCAAGGTCCCGATGAGAACTAAAAAACAAAAACAAAGACAGACCATTAATCCTCCTGAAAACCCCTGTTTGGCTGAGCTGATGCAGAATTAACCTGCAGTAAAAGACCCATGAGTTCAACAAGACTCATTTTGAGAGATTGCCCGTAAAAACAAGGGTGCTGCTAGGAGCAGTCCTCCGCTGGAGTCTATTAACCCACATCTCGAAAGCAGGTGGTGGCCCAAAAAGTCTTCCCCAGGTTTCACTGGCAGTGGATTTCGAAGGACAAATATGTTTGCATCGCACTGTTTCTGTCCTGTGACGATGCTGTGACAATATCCTGCCATCCTATAATTTGGGAGGTGACAGAGGCCTGGACCTGGGTGTCTTCTACCATTTGTACCCTGTGCTCCCTTGTTGCTCTTCCTGTAACAAATAAAACATATAAAGTCCGGAGGATCCCAGCTATAAAATCACAAATTCTCTTTTATCTTTTATGTTTAACATTCTTTTCACAACTCCACACCAGCCTGCAATGAAGAAACAGAGTATCAATTATCTGCTCTGAGCATTCATTTTCTTTTGCACATATTCTTCTCCACTATTCATTAATGCATTTCGAAACATCAATTAGTTTGTTTATATGAACCTGTGCATGTTTTGCTCGGCTGTTTTCTACTCCCCTTTCTTCTCTATCAAAACTCATTCTGGAGAGACGCTTTTCGGTTGTTTACTGAAAGCTCGGTTTGACAGTCTTACTGGCATTACTGTTCGGTTTCTTCTCAGCCAAATCAGAGTATTTTTCAGTGGCACAGCCAGCAGTTCCGTCTCTTTGGACTGGCTAATTTTTGGGAAAGCGAACAGGGCTGAACCAAGTCTGACTAAATACGCAGTCCTCAGGCGATCACCTTTTTGCGTGGCAGCAAGGCTCAGTCAATCACAGCAGTGCCCCTAGAGAAGCTCAGGCAGACGCTTCCCTTATTGCGAAGCGTGAAAATAGCACCAGAGGATCTTGCAGCTCAGGTTGCCGAGGCTCATGCTTCATACAAGACGTTCCTGGAAAAGGCAGTAAGTCTCCACAGATTTGGGTGATTTTCATAAACTATTAATTTCTGTCTGTACTTGCCACCTTAAAATAATAAACATGCCAGCCTACAGCAGCATAATCCATTATTTAGAAAGACAAGAAAAAGATTCATCCTGTGTGCCTACAGCACTAAGTGAATGAGTGATGAAATCTAGGTATGCATTCTTTCCACCATTACCTCGATATGCTAGTTGATTATTCCTCAGCAGTTTAGCAGCGGAGCAAGAGCTCATTATTTTTAGAACCACGACATCTACTCCTCTACCACAAGTATGCCAGAATCACTACTGAATTATTCCCGTATCATTTTACTGTGTGTCTGTTTGAAAGAAAGCTGCACCTCTGCTACAGACCACAACATTTCTGGCACTGGATCGCCTTTTCCCCCAAATGCAAATGCAATTTAGACCAAATATCCTTTCGTGCTGACAAAATCTTGTCACGGACCCCAGTGGAACCGGCGCTCAGGCTGAGGTCAGTCATTTTGCAGTAAACCTAGAAGCGAACGTTTCAGAAGTTGCTACCTGCCGGCTTTCTGCTGCTCACCCTGTACTGAAGTTTACAGGTGGTGGAAGCTGCTAAAACGAAGTTTTCTGAGTGTGTGCATGCAGGGCCAAGGCACTGTTACGGGAGTCCTTCCAAGGGCTCGTCTGCAGGAGCCCGACCATCCAGCTAAGGGGCAGCAGCAAGGGAAGGACATTTTAAACAGCCACGACTGCATCTGCAGCAAACAGCTAGCTCAAGCCTTAGGCGCCACCTGCTTGAACTTTGATTAGTTTTATTTCAAGCAAATGCTCTCTTATTTTTGTCGCTGCCTAAATACAGTGTTCGATTCGGGCTTGCTGATTTGTCTGAATGAGCCCTAAAGCACAGTGCTAGGTGCTGCTTGAACGTAAATGGTTTACTTTAAACCAAGCGCTCCCTATTAACATATTTGTTTGTTTGTCTTGCTCATTGTAATAAATTAAAATCCCTTACAACACAGCAGGTGTTGACGACTGAATGAAAATTAGTACTAATAATTCTGCTTGGGAATAGGCCGGTGTCATTCAGAAGGCAGAAAGAACGAGCAGGTTCTTCAGTGAGCAGCAAAACGAATGACACCTGGTTTCCTAAGGACTGCATCTTGCGGCTGGACTTTCAGTGCCTTGCAAGGCTGGCTCATGGTCCCAGCCTTTCCCTCAGGAGAGGAACTAGCGGGTCCCTCTCTTTTTTGCTCAGCTACAGCTTTCATGGAAATAACAGCATCTTGGTGTTTTTGAGTCTCTCATGAACCCGGTGCATGTCTCAAGGATTGGAAGTTGGAAGGCAGGAGGAAATTAGAGCTTCATTTCTTTTAGGAAACCATACTAAAAAATGAATAGGGTCTATTTCCTTTACCCAGCGACCTATTTTCGTGATACTTATAGGAACATAATGCCGTTGAGGCTCCTATCTTTTTGTTCAAAGCGTTTGCAATGGGCCGGTGGGCTCAAAGCTGGCGGGGGTGCATGGTGGCAGACGCACGGGCGGCAGCTCT